CTCCCCTTTTTCCCCCTTAGATTTTTCTTTGCATGCGCTTGAAGGGGTGATTTGCCTTCAAGTTCGACTCCGGCAGGCATGTTATTTTTTAATTGTTAACGACTCTTCTTCTTCGACTCGGGTGAGCGAGTCGGAGCTGTTGCTTGGCTTTAGCGGCACTTAGCCTTAGTCCCAGTTCGGGCGCGGTCGAACTGTTGGTCGTGATGACAGAAGCGTGGCCTTGTAGTTTGGCCGGGGCCGAACTTTACGTGTCCCCAATCTTAATTTGAGTTGGGAGTACTTACTTGACGGGCGTGGGCGCCTAACCCGTGCCTCGCTTCGTTGGAGGTTGGGTTTCGCTGAGTTCAGTGATGAAGGCGCTTGGTCTGAGCCCTGGTTCAACCGTGGTTGAACTCGTTATATTTGAGGACGAAGGCGTCTAGCCTTATGGTTCAGGCGAGGTCGAACTCGTTGGATTTGATGGCGATAGCGCGTAGCCTGAGTCCTGGTTCGACCGTAGCTAAACTTACTGGCGAAGGCGCACGGGCTTGATGCAATTTTGGAGGCGCGTAGCCTGAGTCATGGTTCAACTATATTTGGACCTCTTGGCGAAGGCGCATAGCCTTGATTCAATGGTGAAGGAGTATAGCCTTGATTTAATGACGAAGGCGCTTAGCCTGAGTCTTGGTTCAACCGTAGTTGAACTTACTAGTGAAGGCTCATAGCCTGAATTTTGGTTCAACCGTAGTTGAACTTACTGGCGAAGGCGCATAGCCTGAATCTTGGTTCAACCGTAGTTGGACTTACTGGTGAAGGCGCATAGCCTGAATTTGGTTCAACCGTAGTTGAACTTACTGGTGAAGGCGCATAGCCTGAATTTTGGTTCAACCGTAGTTGAACTTACTGGTGAAGGCGCATAGCCTGAATTTTGGTTCAACCGCAGTTGAACTTACTGGTGAAGGCGCATAGCCAGAATCTTGGTTCAACCGTAGTTGGACTTACTGGTGAAGGCGCATAGCCTGAATTTTGGTTCAACCGTAGTTGAACTTACTGGTAAAGGCGCATAGCCTGAATTTTGGTTCAACCGTAGTTGAACTTACTGGGGAAAGCGCATAGCCATGATTTAATGACGAAGGCGCTTAGCCTGAGTCTCGGTTCAACCGTAGTTGAACTTACTGGTGAAGGTGCATAGCCTGAATCTTGGTTCAACCGTAGTTGAACTTACTGGTGAAGGCGCATGGCCTGAATCCCAGTTCAACTGTTGTTGAACTTTGTCGATCTTGATGGCGAAGGCTCATGGCCTGAGTCCCAGTTCAACTGTTGTTAAACTTTGTCGATCTTGATGACAAAGGCTCATGGCCTGAGTCCCAGTTCAACTGTTGTTAAACTTTGTCGATCTTGATGATGAAGGCTCATGGCCCGAGTCCCAGTTAACTGTTGTTAAACTTTGTCGATCTTGATGACGAAGGCTCATGGCCCGAGTCCCAGTTCAACTGTTGTTAAACTTTGTCGATCTTGATGATGAAGGCTCATGGTCTGAGTCCCATATTGTGGGTATTGAGTGCCGAGATTTGGTTTGGATTCGAGACCTTGAGCGGCTTATCCGTTGTCTTCCCAACCAGGGTATATAGGCTGTCTTGAGGCGACTCTCGGCTCGAGATATCTCCGTGCCGGTTTCTGGCCGGAGCTCGTATCAGGGCTGTGGGAGATGCCTTGCAGAGACCTCCCCTTAGGAGGAGGGGGGTCTTCTTCTTTTTGTTTGCACTATCTGAGATCGGAGAGAGAGAGAGAGGGCTTAGATCTTGATTTGAGATCTTCGAGTTCAACTTCGAGTTTGGCGTTTCTTTTCTTTTGGTCCAGGGAAGAACTACGCGGTTTTTCTTGGAAATCCCCACAGACGGCGCCAAATTGTTTGCTCAAAAGTTATTACATACCTTATGAGTATAAAACAATATAAATGAATCACGAGAAAATCATAGCAAATCATAATAATCCATTGGAACAAATGAAGAGGACGAAAATAAGTATTCAGAGTTAGGGGAGAAGCATTAGAAGCCTTTATTGATAATATTGGTTTGGTCTGCCTCTCCATGAAGAGGTTCAGAGCCTTACAATGGTGTGTCTTTTGACCACAATTTGGATATCGTTCTCTCTTTTTTCTCCCTCTCTAGTGGTCAAGAAGAAGCCCCCCCTTCTAAGGTTCCCTCTCTTGGTATTTATAGCTGTGGGCTTCGTGAGCTGGCAATAAGTGGTCGTGACCACGTGGGGATCTCACTTTTATGGTGGCGGATAGGCCATGGCTTTGTTGATCGAGCCAGATGCGGGTTGAACATCGTCAATTCAGAGTGGTCGTGCCACTAATTAATCATAAATTAGCTTAAGACGGGATTAGCCTTGTTGATTATCGTGGGGTCGGATTCTGACCCATACAACAACCGAGGTACCGCCTCGCATTCAAATTTCTCAATTTCAATCACAATCTTTCCTTATACCGCTGCATAAGCCTTACATTTAAATTGTTTTGAAAATATATTTCCCGAAATAGCTACACGCACTTTAGCCCACCTTATGACGCCGCGTGGCTTCAAGTAATTCCCTTACAAGAAACACACACAAGTCCCACCTTATGCTGCCACATGCACATTAACCCCTATTCGTATACCGCCACATGCACATCAATGTCACTTCACAATAACATCTCGCACCACAAGTGCCCATATGTCACAACTTGCCAATGATAAACAATATCAATAATTTCACAACAATATCACATGGCTAAATCACAATGTGTAGAAGAGTATCAACAATACCAATGAATGTAAAATTTCTCAACAAGAAGGCTATCTAAACAATTAACAACTTCACCTCAATGTGATAAAGGCTTTCACAACATCAACACCAATAACTCAACAATGAAAGAAATAGTGTGTAACCATGATATAAAATAAGAATAACTTACAATGAAAGAGATAACGTGTAACGATGTCTTCAAATAAGGATAATCAATAATGAAAGAGATAACATATAACAATGACTTCAAATAATGATAAATCAACAATGAAGAGCTAACACGTAATATTGTCTTCAAATAATGATAAATTGACAATGAAAGAGCTAACATATAAAAATGACTTCAGATAATGACAAATCAATAGTGGAAGAGACAACGTGTAACAATGAAAGAGGCAACAACTTCAACTAGAGCATCAAAGCAAAATATCAAGTAAGATGTAAAACAAGTGCTAACAAAGTCATTTAATGCATGTAAAGATAGACTAACACAAGTAAGAGTAGTTTGTCTATGAGAATTCAAACATGATATGACAATTCAACTAAAGCGTAGAAGAGTCTAAGTAGCCTAAACCGGTCAAATACAACATATAACCCGTGTACCACTAGTCACCTTGCATACACGACTTTCATATAGCATAAATGACACAATCAATGTCAAATCCTAAGGGTAGTTTCCCCATACAAAGTTAGGCAAGATACTTACTTGAACTAGTCCAACTCAACCCTCGACAATAGATTTTCCCCTAAAATTCACCTCCATATGGCTCAAATCTAACCAAATGTGACTTAATATCATTAAACAATGCAAGGGAAAACAATTACAATAGATAAAGCTATGATCTTTACACCTTTTCCAAAAAACAAAAGTCAAACCGGAGCCCCCCGGTAAAAACCCGGGTCCAAGGGTAGATTCTGATTAACCGTAACCCCACAAGTTCATATATGTGATTAATTTAAATATTCGAGTCCAAATCGACTCTCAAAACTCAAATTCTTATATTTCAAAAACTTGACAAAGTTTCATAAATTTTTACTTTGATTCACATGATTTTGATGTTAAATCAAAGATATATTGATGAAATATAGTTAGAAATGGATTAGAATCACTTACCCAATATTTGTAGATGAAAATACCGTCTCCAAATCGCATCCTACCAAGTGTAGGGTTCTAAAATGAGAGAATATGTTAAAAAATCCCGTCTTGCAGCCCTTTTGTCCAGCTGCAAATGTCACATTTGCGACATAGGGTTCGCATTTGCGAACCCTCGCAATTGCGGACTAGGGATCGCATTTGCGAACCCTGACAGCCTCAATAATTATCGCAATTGTGAAGCTGGACCACTTCGCAAAGGCTAACAATTGTTCACAAAAGCGACCCACACCTGATGCCTACTGAAGCTTGCAATTGCGATAACAAAGAACCGGCAACACCAGCAATTCATTTTCAGTTCAATTCATTCTAAATCATGTCTGATACTCATCCGAGCCCCCGAGGCTCCAAACCAAACATCCACACAAGTCTAAAAATAGACACGCGCGATCAGAACACAAAAATAATATCTAGAACTACGAATCGAACACTAAAACGCATGAATTTCAAAGTCAAGTTCAAGAACTGCTAGAATTGCAACTAAGCATTCGAATCCTATCAATTCAACTCCAAATGATACCAAATTTTGCACACAAGTTCTAAATAGTATAATAGGCCTATTCCGAGTTCGAAAATCAAATTCCAAACTCGATAGCTAAAAGTCAACCTATGGTCAACCGTTTTAACTTCAAATTGCCAAATTTTGGAAAAACAACACAAATCAACCTACAGACTTCCGAATTCAATTCCAGTATACAGCCAAGTCAAAAATCTTGATATGAAGCTATCGGAGCCATGAAAACACTCTCTGGGGTCGTTTTCACAAAAGTCAAAGTTTGGTCAACATTTCTAACTTAAGCTTCTAAGTCATGAATCAAGGTCAAAATCAACCCGGAACGAAACTAATCAACCTCGTAAGCCATGAAACCATAAACACACATGTGTGAAGCATCAAAAGGGGAAACAGTGCGCAATTACACAAAACGACTGGCTGTGTTGTTACATTCTCCCCCTCCTAAAACAAACGTTCATCCTAGAACGTGCATAAGGACATACCTGACGTGATAAATAGATGAGGATAACGAATCCACATGTCGTGCTCAGTATCCCAGGTCGCCTCCTCGACCAGATGACCCCTCTATTGAACCTTCACTGAAGCAATGTTCTTTGATCTCAACTTCCTGACCTGTCTGTCCAAGATAGCCACTAGCTCCTCAATATAGATCAAATCCTTGTCTAATTGGATTGTGCTAAAGTCTAAAATATGAGACGGATCACCACAATACTTCTGGAGCATAGAAATGTGGAATACCGAATGGACCGCAGATAAGCTAGGTGGCAATGCAAGCTTGTAGTCCACCTCACCAATCATTTCAAGGATCTCAAAGGGTTCGATATACCTAGGACTCAACTTTCCCTTTTTTCCAAACCTTATCACACCCTTTATGGGTGAAACCCGGAGCAAAACTCACTCTCTAACCATAAATGATACATCACGAACCTTCCGATCGACATAACTCTTCTGTCTAGACCGGGCTGTACGTAGCTGATCCTGAGTCAACTTGACCTTCTCCCAAGCATCCCAAACCAAATCCGTGCACAATAACTTAGCCTCTCCCTGTTCAAACCAACCAACTGGAGAACGACACAGTCTCCCATATAAGGCCTCATAAGGAGCCATCTGAATACTCGATTGGTAGCTGTTGGTGTAGGAAAACTCCGCAAGTGGCAAAAACTGATCCCAAGAACCCCCGAAATCCATAACACAGGCGCGAAGCATATCTTATAAGATTTGAATGGTGCGCTCGAACTGCCCATCCGTCTGGGGGTGGAATGTTGTGCTTAACTCAACCTATGTGTCTAAGTCACGCTGCATAGCTCATGTAAACTGCGTGCCCCGATCAGAGATGATGGATATCAACACGCCATGAAGTTGGACAATCTCGCGGATATAGATCTGAACTAGCTGCTCTGAAGAATAGGTGGTGTCACCACTGGAATGAAATGAGCCGACTTGGTCAACCTATCCACAATCACCCATACAACGTCAAATTTTTTCTGAGTCCGTGGGAGCCCAACAACGAAATCCATGGTAACGCGCTCCCATTTCCACTCTGTAATCTCAAGTCTCTAAAGCAAACCACCTGACCTTTGATGCGCATACTTCACTTGCTGACAATTTAGGCACCAAGCTACATACTCCACTACGTCTTTCTTCATTCTCCTCCACCAATAGTGTTGTCTCAAATCCTGATACATCTTAGCGGCACCCGGATGAATGAAGTACCGCAAATTATGGGCCTCCTCAAGGATCATCTCACGCAACCCATCCATGTTAGGCACACATAATTGACCCTGTATCTGGAACACCCCGTCATCTCCAATAGAAACCTCCTTGGTTAAAATAGAAATTCTTAAATTTCATTGAAAATTTCATTTGATTTGTATGAGGTTTTTAGACTTGTTTGCATGTTTGGTTTGGAGCCCGAGGACTCGGGTGAGTTTCGGATAGGCTATTGAGTGAATTTAGACTTAGAATCATAGCTGATGACTTTTGCTTCTAGTTACGAGCCTCACATTTACGAACAAGGCTTTGCATTTGCGAGCCTGGGCAGGTTGGGGGATCCTCGCATTTGCGAGATACGCATTTGCGAACTTGCCATTTCTGTTTTTGTGAAGGCAGAGTCGCATTTGCAACTCAGCATGATCTTGATAATCTTCGCATTTGCGAAGAATAGGTCCGCATTTGTGAGGGATGATAGGTTCGCATTTGCGACCAATACATCGCATTTGCGATGACTGTGTCTCTGAGAGGAGATAGCATTTGCGAACTTCTTCTCGCAATTGCGAACAAGATATCGCAATCGCAACATCTGCAGCTAGGTAAAAGTTGATTTAGACGGGATTTTTCTCATTATTCCCTATTTTCAACCCTAAAATCCTTGGAGGCGATTTTTTCAAGAACACTTCTTCCCAAATTCGTTGGTAAGTGATTCTACCTAAAATTTAGGATTTTCATGGTAGAAATTGGGGATTTGGCTAGAATTAGGGATTTTTTTAAAATTGGAATTTATACCTCAATTGAGGTCGGATTTCGAAATAAATTACATAACCGGGCTCGGGGGTGAATGGATAATCAGGTTTTGGTCCGAATTTCGGGTTTGGACCAAGCGAGCCCGGGAGTTGACTTTTGTTGACTTTTTCAATAATGACCTAAATTGAACCTCTTTCATTCGTGGGTAGTTCCTAAGGCTTATTTTGAATCGTTTGGTTGTTAAATTGCTAAATTTGATTGGTTCGGAGGCTTTTTCGAAAGGCAAAGTCGTGGTTGAGCTTTGAGTCAATTTTGGAGTGAGGTAAGTGTTGAGTTTAACCTTGATTTGAGGGAATTAGGGATCCTTAGACTATGTGCTATGTGAAATTCAAGTGTTGCGGCGTATACGCAAGGTGACGAGTGCTTATACACCGCCGAATTACTTGTTTCGCTGATTTTCCGCTTTTCCTTAATTATTTATTTCCATGTCTTGACTGTTATGTGCTTTAGATGCCTCCCATGATTTACTTGCTACTTGTGAATCATTGTTTCTCGTGTTAAAAATGTTAGACATTTCCATGCTTTCATGACTCGATGCTATTTGCCTTAATTGACTTACTTGCACCATTTAATTGTCATCTACTAGACTTGTCTTGTCGTGTAATACTACATATGTGAAGGCTTCCTTTCTGATTCAGCTTCATATCCATCAATCATAGAGGTTCTTGTGATGTGAGTTATTGATTTTATTGTACTCATTGAATATTTGATACTGATATGGTGGGATCGGGTTGCACACCGCAACAGGTGAAATAAGGGTGGACTGATACGGTGAAATAAGGGTATGATACTGATTTGGTTATATGGTAAGAGCTGGTCGCACGCCGCAACAGGTGAAATAAGGGTGGATTGATATGGTAAAATAAGGGTGAATTATGATATTGATTTGGTTATATGGGGGATCGGATTGTGCACCACAACATATATTTATTTATGATTGTTGATATTGTTATAATGGAATAAGGGAGGATTGTGTTGTACGATGGGATCAGGTTGCGCGCCACAACAATCTATGCGTTTCTATTTCTTTGTGTTGTGTTGGTTTTCGGTATTTTTCATACGAAACTCTAAGGATTAGTAATTCTGACCTTCACTGATTTTCTCTGAGGATTTATCTATTTTCTTCAGTTAACTACCTTATTTTGCTTCGTATTTTCCTATCCTATCTTTATTTTATACTGCGTACAGGTAGTGTAAGTGACCCGCCTTAGCCTCGTCACTACTTCGTCGAGGTTAGGCTCGGCACTTAACGAGTACATGAGGTCGGTTGTACTCATACTACACTCTGCACTTCTTGTGCAGATTTTGGAGTCGGTCCTAGCGGCGTTCATTAGCATGCTCCGGTTGGCTAGTAGTGTGGAGACTTGAGGTACAGTTGCTCGGCGTCCGCAACCCCTAAAGTCCTCTTCCTTTTATTAGCTGTGTATTTTCCCTCAGACAGCTCTATGTTTCATTCAGACCTTTATTTTTACTATTCTAGTAGCTCGTGCACTTGCGACACTGGGTCAAGGGTTGTATTAGATATTTCAGTTGTTATGATTTTCCACACTATATTTTAGATTATGGCAGTTATTTCAGTTTCTTTCTTATTATTAATTTGGACTGTTGAAAATGGATAAATTGTTCTAACGTTGGCTTGCCTAGCAAGTGAAATATTAGGCGCTATCACGATTCCGCAGGTGGGAATTCCGGGTCGTGACAAGATGAAAACCCCTCCATGAACCGGCGGTAATAACCCGGAAAACTCCGGAGCTCTGTAGCTGAAGTAGGTCTAGGCCAGTTCTGAACTGCCTCAATCTTATTAGGATCCACCTTTATGCCCTCTTCCGATTCAACATGCCCCAAAAAGGCGACCGAGTCTAACCAAAACTCACACTTTGAAAACTTGGCATATAAATGGCTATCTCTTAGCGTCTAAAGTACAATCCGAAGATGCTGCTCATGCTCCTCTCGACTGCGGGAGTAGATCAAGATATCATCAATAAATACAATCACAAAGGAATCCAAATAGGGATTGGACACCCAGTTCATCAAATCCATAAATGTTGCTAGAGAATTTGTCAACCCAAATGACATCACTAGAAACTCATAATGCCCATACCGAGTCCGAAAAGTTGTCTTAGGGATATCGGATGCCCTAATCTTCAACTGATGGTAGCCAGACGTCAAATCAATCTTCGAAAATACATTGGCACCCTCAAGCTAATCAAATAAGTCATCAATCATCGGCAACGGATACTTGTTCTTGATAGTGACCTTGTTCAACTACCGATCATCTATACACATCCTCATCGATCCATCTTTCTTCTTCACGAACAACACGGGTGCTCCCGAGGGCGAGACACTAGGTCAAATGAAGCCTTTATCAAGCAAATCTTACAACTGATCCTTCAATTCCTTCAACTCCGGCGGGGCCATACGATATGGCGGGATAGAAATGGGCTGAGTGGCCAGAGCCAAATCAATACAAAAGTCAATATCTATGTTGGGTGGCATCCCCGGCAGATCTACAGGAAAAACCTCTGGAAACTCGCGAACAACTGGTACTGAATCCATGTAAGAAACTTCCGTGCTGGAATCGCGAATATAAGCAAATAAGCTAGACACCCTTTCTCGACCGTGCTGTACCGTGTCCTTAAGGACAAGCAAATGGGGATCGTCATACCGACGCTCTCTGATGCGATCATATAAGGAAGACCAAGAAACTACGCAAGCAAGAACTCGCTCCAAAACATTCAATCTAACAAACTGGTTGGCCAAGGCTTGAACATCCAGGCTAGTGGCCTCTTTACTGCCGGTAGATATGCTAAACTGCCCAAGTTCTCCTCCGTTCGACTGAAGGCATCGGCCACTATATTGTCCTTCCCGGGAAGATACAGAATAGTGATATCATAGTCTTTAAGCAACTCTAACCATCTCCACTACCACAAATTATGATCTTTCTGTTTGAACATATGCTGGAGACTTCGGCGATCGGTATAGACCTTACAAGGGACACCGTCCAAATAGTGCCGCTAAATCTTCAATGCATGAACAATAGATACCAATTCTAAGTCGTGCACTAGATAATTCTTCTCATGGGTCTTCAACTGCCGAGATGCATAATCAATCACCCTACCATCTTGCATCAACACCATGCCATGGCCAACACATGACTCATCATAATACACAGTGTATGACCCAGAACCCGTAGGCAACGCCAATATTGGGGCTGTAGTCAAAGCAGTCTTGAGATTTTGAAAGCTCGTCTCACACTCCTCGGACCATCTGACCTTCTGGATCAATATGGTCATAGGTGCAGCAATGGATGAGAAATCCTCAACGAAACAGCGATAATACCCGGCCAGACCAAGGAAACTTTGAATCTTAGTAGCTGAGGACAGTCTGGGCAAATTCTGAACTGCTTCAATCTTCTTCAGATTTATCTGGATCATCTCACTCGACACCACATGACCCAAAAACGACACTGAATCAAGCTAGAATTCACACTTTGAGAATTTGGCATACAACTTCTTTTCTCTCAAGGTCTGGAGTAGGATCCTTAGATGCTGCTCATGATCTTCCCGACTGCGGGAGTACACCAAGATGTCATCAACAAACACAAGGACGAATGAATCAAGATATGGATGGAATATATTGTTCATCAGGTGCATAAATGTTTCTGGGGTGTTGGTTAGCCCAAACGACATCATAAGGAACTCGTATTGACCATACTGAGTCCTAAAGGCGATCTTTGGGATATCCGAATCCCGAATCTTCATCTGATGATATACTGACCGTAAATAAATCTCTGAGAACACTCTGGCACCCTGTAGCTGATTAAATAAGTCACCAGTGTGCAGCAATGGATACCTATTCTTCACTGTAACCTTGTTTAACTGTTGATAATCAATACACATACGCATAGAACCATCCTTCTTCTTCACAAATAAAACCGGAGCACCCCAAGGTGACACACTAGGCCGAATGAAACCCTTATCAAGCAACTCTTGCAACTGCTCTTTTAACTCCTTCAACTTCGGTGGGGCCATGCGATATGGTGGAATAGAAATGGGTTGAGTGTCTGGCAACAAGTCAATACCAAAATCGATATCTCTATTGGACGGCATGCCCGGAAGATCTGTTGGAAATGCATCTAGGAAGTCTCTCACTACCAGAACTGACTCAACGGTAGGAGTATCAGCATTGGCATCTCTCACAAAGGATAGATATGCATCACACCCCTTCTCAACCATTCGCTGAGTCTTTAGAAATGACACAACCCCGCTAGGAACATAACCCAATGCACCCCTCCACTCTAACCGTGCCATAGCCAATGTCACAGTCTTGGTGTAACAATCTAGAATAGCATGTGTATACGGCCAAATTGGGGAGTTCGACTTTGGGGCTACTATGCCGCCCTACGCCTAACCTCGAAGAAGCCCGAAGCAGGGCATGAGGTGCAACCCCGAGGTACATCCCTCAAGGGAGCGCATCGAAGGCTCATTATGGTCGATCTCGGAGCAGTACGATCGATGATCATCATGAAAAGGCAGAAGGCACCTGAAGACACGTGATGAGGACTGACAAAGCCTGCAAAGGACAATACAAATCCTTACTGAGCTGTTGTACAGATGTACACGTAGCTTTTCTTCATCATTTATTAGACATGTACTATGTTGGAATTCACCCCTCCTATATAAAGGGGGCCTTTGTCATTTTGTAAAGGGGATTCATATTATTACACAACATATTGAATACGATACAACATTCTCTACTCTCTTTGATAATACAATTGTTCTTCACATTTATTGCTTATTCTTTCATTGCTCATTATTGTTCTTCATTTATTGCTCATTATTAACTGCAAAAGTCCATCTGTAAGGCCCTCATTATCATTGATCTTCATCGATCGTTTGTAGCTATTATCCTGACTAGACCTCGAGGCCTTGCTCCAGCTAGCTTGAGGCCCAGCCTAGCAACCTTTTTTGGTTTGCGTTCCTTCTTTTCTTTACTCATACTTAGCATCCATTGCCTAACAACTAGTATTAAGTTAAATCAAGTATTTTTAGAACCACAAAATCAAATATAATTGTAGTTACCATTTCAAGGTAAACAGTTTGGCGCCCATTCGCTAAAAATAATAGTGATTGTTTTGGTGCTAGTTTTCTGAAAACACAAGTTATCCTTCACACTTTTTCTTGTCCAAGAATCTTTGATTTCAGGTCAAAATGTCTAACTCAGCAAATACACGTGAAAACAACAGCATTGGGCTCCAGGTAGAAAATGGCGCAGATGCCGGTGTACCACCACAAATCCTAGGGATAGCACCAACAAATGCCGGTGTACCACCGCAAAACCCAGGGGAGGCCCCAGCACAAATTGCCATCGACGTAAGCTCACAGAACTCTGTGCATGTCGATGTAAGCTCTCCTAACAATGGAAACGTGCGCGGTGAGGAAAGAGACGTTAGTCTTCAAGTCATTATTGAAATGTTACAAGCATAGTAGGTGGCTATTTCTCAGCTACAAAGCCACAAAAAAACCCCAAGCACAGTAGCACAAAAAATGGCTCCTCGAGTCGAGCAGGTATCAGAGAGATCGAGCAACAACGGGTCAGCAGCTGACGCTGCTATAATGAAGATGCTCGAGGACCTCACCAAAAGAATTGAATTAGGAGAAAAGAAGATAGAAGATAATGATAAAAGGGTGGGGAGTTATAACTCGAGGGTCGATCAGATCCCGAGCGCGCCCCCGATTCTGAAGGGCGTAGATTCAAAGAAGTTCATAAAGAAACCATTCCTACCAAGTGCGCCTTCGAAGCCCATCCCGAAGAAGTTTAGAATGCCCGACGTCCCGAAATATAACAAGACCACGGACCCCAACGAGCACATTACCGCCTACACTTGTGCCGTAAAGGGGAATGACTTGAAAGATGACGAGATTGAATCCGTCTTGCTGAAAAAATTTGGAGAAACACTGTCGAAAGGGGCTATGATGTGTTATCATAACCTACCCCCAAATTCGATAGATTCATTTGCCATGTTGGCAGATTTTTTTGTGAGGGCACACGCTGGTGCCATCAATGTCGCCACCAGGAAGTCCAATGTCTTCAAAATCAAACAGAGAGAGAACGAGATGTTAAGGGAGTTCGTATCTCGTTTTCAGATGGAACGAATGGAATTACCATTAGTCTTCGATGACTGGGCAGTACATGCCTTCACCCAAGGCTTGAACGAACGAAGCTCGGTAGCTTCAAGGCAGTTAAAACAAAATTTGATCGAGTATCCCGCCGTGACCTGGGCGGACGTGCACAGTAGGTATCAGTCAAAAATCAGGGTCGAAGACGACCAATTAGGAGCCCCTTCGGGCTCAGTATATCCTAGCAGACTCTTAATAAAGGAGCAAATATTTACAGAAAGAGAGCCAAGATCAAACAAAGAAATATACCAGTCGTACGTAGAATATCGAAGAAACGCTCCCAGGCGTAACATGCCTCGAGGCGATCGAAGAATGGATCGAGGTCAGAATTCCCGAGGACTCGTAGGTAAAGCCGGGTTCGATAGGCGCACTGGGCCGGTAGAGGAACCCCGGCTATCTGAGTACAACTTCAACGTCGATGTCTCGGGCATCGTGTCAGCCATTGGGAAAATCAAAGATGTCAGATGGCCAAAACCTGTACTATCAGATCCTTCACAAAGAAACCCCAACTTGATGTGTAAGTATCACGGCACTCACGGTCATATGATCGAGGATTGCAGGCAGCTTAGGGAGGAGGCAGCCCGTTTGTTCAACGAAGGGCATCTTCATGAATTTCTCAGTGACCGGGCTAAGAACCCTTCCGAGAAAGAGATGCGGACAAGAAAAATGAACCAGAAGAATCACAACACATCATCCACATGATCGTTGGAGGGGTGATGCCCCCACAGGAACCCGTTTTCAAACGGACAAAGATATCCATCACCAGGGAAAGGCGAACTCGGAGTTACGTACCATAGTATGCTCTCACGTTTAGCGAAGAGGACATTGAGACCTTGTCTCAGCCTCATAATAACGTATTGGTAATTTCTTTTCTTTTGAATAAAATTAGATTAAACGTGTGCTCGTGGATCCAGGTAGCTCGGCCAACATAATCAAGTCGAGGGTGGTGGAGCAGCTCAAACTGCTCGACCAGATCGTACCCGCCTCTCGAGTCCTCAATAGATTCAACATGGTGAGCGAAACAACAAAAGGGGAAATCATCCTCCCAGTTAACGAAGCCGGTGCGACCCAAGATACCAAGTTTCATCTCATCGAAGGTGACATAAGATACAATACCTTACTTGGAAGGCCTTGGATACACAGTATGATGGCAGTACCCTTGACCCTCCATCAAATAATGAAATTTCCAACCAAGGATGGAGTAAAGGCAGTATACGGGGAGCAGCGTGCAGCAAGAGAGATGTTCGCGGTGCACGACATATCACCGGCATCGACGCCCTCTACATCAAATAGGCCAAAAGACAAGTGAAAAATTAGCTAACAACTACAACCTACATTCTCGACTACATCCAAACGAGTGAGTAAAGGACCGTGCCACGTCCTCGAAATAAGTAGTTGGAATTTATCAAAGCTAGAACACCATCGTTAAGGTACAACCCTCTCCCTTTTTATTTATGTTTTGCACTAACTTACTGGCTACTGCAGGCGTTCGATCGAGGGGAATCGAAGCGCCCTCCAGCTCGAAGACCTTGGGTTTTAAAGCATGTGTTGCACTCTTTGTCCCTTAGACCGGATTTTATCCCGAACGGGCTTTATCGGTGAGGTTTTTAACGAGGCAATATCCATATGCTACCTAAGGAGAACTCATCAAGTATTCAAGGCTTCTCTTCAATCAACCTCAAATACTGGGGGCATCACCCCAGGAGATCACCCCTTGTAAGAAACTGAACTACGCCCAGGAGGACCTCGATAGGAGAATATTGTATCGGGACAAACGGTCAAATGAACCGTGTCCATATAGAACAATCGAGCCTCCAAAGGCAAAAAATATGTACACATACATCAAACAATTGAGGAAGCCTCTTTTCTTGTCAAAACACTCGAAGAAATTCAATACTTTCACGCAAAACAGCTTAAGGGCCGAAAAACCTCGAACACTCGGGCACTATCGTCAACAGACAGCTCGTCGAAGCCATCAAAAACTCGAAATCGTAAGACCTCAGTAAGGAAATTTCGAGCTCGTAAGACCTCAGTGAGGCCCCATCGAGTCTGTAAGACCGCAATGAGGCAATACCAAGCTTGTAAGACCTCAACGAGGCATACTCAAATTTATAAGACCTTAAAAAGGCATAACCCCAACATGAAGGGCAAGGCTATATATCGAACTTGTAAGACCCCTAAAAAGGCATACCCTCGATACAGACGCCAAGTTCACCGCACACGGGGACTAAAGGCTACGGCCAAACAAAAGGCTACGGCCGAATTAACGCGGCTCGGAGACGTCCGACTGCCACTATAAAACAAAAGGCCTCCAAATACTTCAAAAATACTTCGAAAAGAACTGGTTAATCAGGATACCCTCAGCATAAACACAAGAGCTTCGATCATATTAGCTCCAAACAATGAAAAAGCTTCGAGACAATCAGCCTTCAGCAAAAAGGCTTCGGAAAATCGGCCTTCGAGAGAACCTCCCGAGGTACTCAATTATCATCACAATCGACTCATAATCGAGGATCTTATTTGAGCTGTCGAAGAGTATGACGAACATATAACATGCTAAGGCATAATCAAATCTTTAGCCAAAAGAGGGAAAACTATAGCCATATTAGAGGTCGCATCGACCCAATCCAAAAAGAGCCTAAGGGCCAATGCGTAAGAGCCTAAGAGCTAGCCTAAAGAGCCTAAGGGCAATTGCGTAAGAGCCTAAGAGCTAGCCCAAAGAGCCTAAGGGCCGATATAGTGAAAACCTAAGGGTCAACGAGCTTGAGTCAAAATTTGATTCGAGGACCAAGCCCTAAATGGTCAACTATTATCAACCGCTCATTGAGCATGAAAACCTGAGGGGCTTATCATAAGTTCGACACATCGAACTGGTTATCGACAAGCATCAAAATTTATTCTAAAAAGGCAAGGGAAAACAAGAAATGACGAGAAGCAAAAATCCTTATACATATATATAGTAAGGTTTCATAAAGTCATATTTATGAGGCTCGTGCCTGGAGCCCTTACACAAAAAAGGAACAAATGAAAACCTAATCTACCACCGGGGTTGCTTAACCAGATGGAGCTCCCACAGGAAATTGTGCCTCCAACGGCCTGGCCTTCGACCCCCTGAACATCAATGCCTCCTC